AGGCTCGTGGGAATAGCGACCCTGCCCTGCAAACCCTGAGGAGGAAGGTACCGCAGCAAGTAGACTAAGTGAACCATTAAAAAAACACCTAGTGATTTTAAATCTATTTAAAAATAATTTTGGAGATATGGTCTCAATGACTTTCAGTGAAAAAGTGTAGAACCTGAATTTGAGAGGATATTATTAATGCTTTGAAAAGCCCTTAAACACATACACTTCAAACTGCACGAGGGTGCAGATTGAGTCTTGGGACTGGAGGGAGCAGGGGGCAGAGCTTCTTGCGATACCACAGGGGGCTGGCACAGCACACCCTTCCCCAGCGAGGGGTCCACAAGCCATGGGGAGCCCTCTCCGGCCCCAGGCAGGTGCTAGAACAGGCACAGCTTCTGGTTTGGGTGAGCAATGGGGAAGGGGAGGAAGGCACATGCTGCACCACACCGTGTCCTGGTCTGTGGGCGAAGGTCACGCTGCAAAGACAGAAAACCAGGGATGGCAGGAAGAACCATAACAGGGGAAGGAGGAGACAGCATTGTGACTGGTAAATGGTAAAAAAAAACCTACCAGGAGCGCACAACTATGTAAAACCCCACCATGCTCTGCCGTGGGGCTGGGGTGGGCACTGAAGAGGAGCTGCAATGGGGCATGACTGCCTGCCTTGCAGGGCAGGGGCTGGGGTGTGCCAGGCACCTTCTGTGCCTCCGGCCTGGAGCTGAGGAGCCCCAGCCCCTGCTCCAGCAGAGTGAACTGAGTAGTACACAAGCTGCCTGGGCTCCTGTGAGCTAAAAGCTGTTGCCGTCTTATCTGGCCAGGGCCTGCCACAGCTGGGCTCCCAGTGACTCCAGTGTGCTGCATCCCCCTCCCCTGGGGAAAGGAGGCACGTAGCTCATTGCAGGCAAATGCCAGGAAAATAAGGAGAGGATATTTGACTCTTGGAGATAAAAGCCTCATGCTGAAAGGTGTGCCAAACCCCCTGCTTTGCCTGCTCCACAGAGCAGGGCACGTCCTGTGTATTAGCAATGGCAAACCTGCTCGTGGCCATTTGCAGACAAGCTGTGAGTGTCTGAAAAACTCAGCGCATTGTACACTCCGTATTGCAGGATAAGCAAAAATCTTTTGGGGTACAACATTTTGTGAGTAAAGACACACATCGGTGAAAGTTTCAGAATGGCAATGAGCCGTTGGGGGGAGACAGTGATGGCACTGGATATCTCAAATGGGAGAAGAGGTATGAAAGATGGTCCTTCCACCCTACCCATGCAGGTAGCTATGTCGGTACCCGATGCCACTTTCCTTCTAGAGAGTGGAGGAAAAAAAGGAGCCCGGAGAGGTGAGGTGCAAGTGCAGTCTGTGTGTGGATGCAGTCTGATGGTACAACAAAGCTGATGTTAAGAGCAAGCAGCCAGGGAAGAGCTGGTCCCATCCTTTCCCACCCTCCTACCCCCTTCCTGGCGATGGCCTGACTGTGCCCAGGCAAGGCTGGGTGCTGGGGCTTCAGGGCTGGCTCCCATTTCCCAGTGTGGGATGAGGCGATTTCCACACTTTTGCTCCCCAAGACGGCTCCATTTGGTGGCAGGCAAGGAGCAGCCCTGGCACGGGGCAGCAGGTGACCCCGATGGGCAGCACCAGCGAACTCCCCATCGGCCAGGCTGTGCCATCACCCTGCGCCACTGCCGCCCTGCTGCGGCACCCGCGCTGAGCTCAAGGGGCATTGAATGCTTAACTGTCTCTGAAGATCTGAGCCTGCGAGTGCCGTTTCACCCATGCTACTGACTCAGGCTGCGCCTGTTTAAAAGCTGCCATCCCTCCCCTTGGCTCCAGGTCCTGCAGTGGGTCAGCAGCATGGGCAGGGTATTTGCTCCAGTCCCTGCAGCTCACAGGAAGATACCACCAGAGTATATGAACATTTGGGGCAATGAACGTCGGCAGGCAAGGGCTGTTCGCTTGTCCAAGTTTGCGGTATCACCCTAGGGCAGTTCCTCTGTCCCTCCACCCCCTCACCTTCCTGCATGTTTCCTACAGCTCACATGTTACCCCCACAAGAAGAAAATACTCTGTTTTCAGCTGGGTGCTGCCTGGCCGCACGGGCCCCGCCACAAGCCTGGGGAAGGCAGTGAGGGTGGCCATGCCAGAGGTGAAGAGGGGAGGCCCACCCTTCCCAAGGGCAGTGCAGATTTGGGCAGCTATCTGGCATTATTTCCCCTCAGCCCTGTTTTCATGGCTGCCCAGCTATGATAGCCAGTGTTTTCTCACACAGCCTCGGCCCGGCTCTCCTCTCCCATCATGAGCCACGCTGACCAGGCACCTCTCCATCTCCAGTCTCATAGCGCCAGCCAGACGATAAGCCTGATCAAGTTGTATATCTGCAGGGAAACAAGTTATCAGGCAGCTTCTCAGCTAGTACAAAACCAAAACCAGCAGAGCCACAGCCATTCACACCACATTGAAGCCAGCCTTCACCTCTGAGCATAGGGACTGTGAGCTTTTCCACAAAACACAGCTGCTGTTTCAATTAAAATGCTAAGGAAACAGGGACAGGTACTGAGCCATCCTAAGGGTGTTGTACTGGCCACAGGGCTGAGCTCCCACTTCCCCACAGCTTTGTGGTGCCAGCTAAGAGCACGTCCCCAGCTGCTTGCCCATTCCATTCCATTCCATCCCATCCCATCCCACCCCATCCCTCCTCAGTGTGCTCAGCTGCAGGTGATTTCCATCCAAATTCCATCAGAAGGAGCCGGGTGTATTTAAGCCACAGGGCTGGCAGCCTTAGAAGAAGGGGGAGAAGTGGTCTTGTAGTTTTGGGGGAAGGTCTGATGGCTTCTTTCCCCTCTCTGCCTTAGCAGCCTGCTTCTCTGGGAGGCAAAGGAGCAGGTCTCATTTGGCTTACACCTCCTGAAGTATTTTTCTTTTGTTGTTTAGGGGTGAGAATGTGACCTTTCTGTCCTGATGCATGTGGGGTGTGCATTAAGCCTGTGTGGCACTTGGATTGCTGGTGGCAGAGATGTGGGCTCTTTCTGGGATTATACATGAGATACCTGCTGGGCTGTATTCCACTGTTGAAGCTTGCTAGTTGGGAAAGTTTTCTCCATTAGACATTTTTCCTTTGTTTCTGTTTCCTTGGGGGGGTGGTATGTGTTCTTTTTTTTTCCTGGCTTCTGCAAAATTAGACTTGTCTGAGATATCTCAGTAATCTGTTATCTCTAGCTACTTTCAACAGAGACCTTTCAAACCTCAAGAGGTCATGAGGGCAAGACTTAATTTTCTTTGTGCAATGCACTTTGCACCTTGCCTCTGCTTCTTGTTTATTCCTGATGTGACTCCCCACTTCTGAAAACTTCCTTGCTCAGCCTTGCAAGAGCTCCCTCTATGATATTTCATTCTATGGTCCCAGTCTGTTGTTTCTGAAGAATCTTTTGCTTTTAAAATTGGTTAAGGTATTGCCAGGCTGAATAAACTTACTTCTAGATAAATTTTTGGATTAATATCAACAGACTCTGCAGTGCAGCAAGCTTTTCAAGGAAATCTTTTTTTAGGTAGAAAAAATATGCTTTTACTTGACAAATTACTGTTGCTATTTTTTGTTGATTGTTTTAACTATCGCTATGCTCACAGGAGCTCAGTGTCAGCAAAATCTGTAGTACCTGTATTGATCCTAAACTGTGCCAGTAAAGACTCTTACATCTTGGTGAAAACTTCATGGTTTTGAACTGAACTCGGTTATTTTGCCTTAAGGCCGAATGGTTGCCTGTCTTTAAACTGACAGATCCACTCTTTGCACAATGAGCATGATATTTAACTTGAACACCAGCTATCACCCAGGTTTGCATCGTTGTGACAAGTCATTTTGCAAAGAGCACTTGAATAAGATTCAGGTAGCAAGGTTGTGGTGGTTGTTCAGATGTTTCTTTAATGAACTCTTAACTCTTACGAAGGCAATTAAAACAGCCAGTGGCTGTATAGCTATTGCAGGTACCTGGGTACCCGGCACCTCTCTCAGGCTGCCCTCAGAGCTGGGGCAGCCACAGCCTTGGCTGCAGACGCCCTGGCCTTGCTGGTTTGGGCATGACTTTATCTAACACAGTTTTTGTGGAATTTGGTAAGGGGGAAGCTCCTAATGTCTTATTTCAGTTTTTTCCGTGGAACAGCTCAGGGTGGATTTCTTCTCACCCTCAAAGTAAGTGTGTTGGTGACAGCTGTAATCAACACAGAGGCGCTTACACTGTTGGTGAACAAAAACAGCTGCTGGAAAAAGGGGAAAAGATGTTATTTTGTTCCTAGAAACTTGCATATAGTTTTATAAAGTGATGCTGCATCTTAGTCCTGCCAGGACTTCATTTAAGCCTGTATGGGACCCATACCTTCAGTCACAAGGATCCAAGACATCAGTCCTTACCAGTTTGGTTTGGGTTGACAGTCACTTGAAGCAGTGTCTGTGTACATAGACGTCCTTCTGTAAGGTCTGGAAGTTTCCTGTTTAACTTTTTAGCACTACAACTCACTTAAGGTTTGTTCTGGGCTCTCAGAAGTAACTGGCAGCTCACCAACAGCTTTTTATTAGCACTGAAAACCATGGGAGGGAAGCTGCACTGGTCATCTGGAGGCCTTGTCTTTGCTGGGCAAAAGGCGTTTGTTGCTAGATATTGGCTTGTGTACTGCAACACAGGGTGCAGTCCTATAGGTGTTTTCATTTCATGAAGAAAAATGTGTTATAACCTCTTCTATAGATGAGATAGTGAAGTATCAGATCACTTCAATTACACCATGCTGGCAAGTTGAGAGTGAGAGGAAGAAAGAAGTCTTGCTCCTCTTGACCTCCCATGGGACAACCCTCTGCCTTTTCTCCTATCACAAATGCAAGCTGATAGCAGGTGCTTCAAAGACAAGTCACAGTTTGGCCAGCTTATCGAAACAACTATAAAGACCTAAAGGAAAATATGCCTGTGCAGGCTGATCAATATGTTATGTGGTTGGCACTAAAAGGGCCCTGTTTTTGCCATTTGCAGGCATGGCGGAAGCGCTGGTTCGTGCTGCGCAGAGGTCGCATGAGTGGGAACCCAGATGTGCTGGAGTACTACAGGAACAACCATTCCAAAAAGCCCATTCGGATCATCGACCTCAATGAGTGCGAAGTGCTGAAGCACTCGGGGCCCAACTTCATCAGGAAGGAATTTCAGAACAACTTCGTCTTCATTGTGAGAACCACCTACCGCACCTTCTACCTGGTAGCCAAAACTGAGGAGGAGATGCAGATCTGGGTGCACAACATCAGCCAGATCTGTAACTTTGGACACCTAGAAGATGGCACAGGTAAGATCATGCTTATCTTGGGGATTGGGAGGATGCTCTGTCTGGGCTCCTCTAACAGCAGCACCCGGGCTGAGAAGAAGCATGGACCTTGCTGGCTGGTTGGACTGGGTGGGTGGCAGGGGACTCTGTTTCCTGTAGCTCCGCATAGCACTGAGATGCTGCTAAACCCTGGAATAAACAGCAGGTCCTTAGTAAGAAAAGGTACTGTTTATGTGAAAAGCTGACTGACTGTTATCTTCTGGGGCCGTTTATTTCATTACATGTCCTATATTTATTTAGTTTGGCTTAATGTAAGACACCTGTTCTAGGGAAGTGTGCCATAAAACTTGGGTTTTCTCAGGCTTAGCTGGATGTGGAATGTGCACAGACTTGGGTGTACATGCACATGCATAAATCAATGACAAAAATACTGAGCTGCCTTAGTCTATTAATGAGAAGAAAAATAAAGAAAAAGCAGAGGACAGGAGAGTGTTAGAAGTGTGTGTCTAGACTTAAGAGATGGTCCTGCCAGTGAAGCGTGAATTCAGCCTGTTTTGCCAGGACCTATACCTGTATATACTCAGTAGGGTGAATGTCTTGGAAAGTTTCCAAGAATTAACCACTTCAAGATGAATGTAGCCAGTAATTAAAGTCGGGATTTGTATCATCATTAACTTACTTTTCAAATGAGACAATCGGGCTCAGATAACAGTAATTTGTCTTTCCCTTGACATTTCCAAGGGGCAGATACAGCAGCAATTTGAGAGCTTTGTAGGAAGTGAGTCAGAATGAAGTCCTTTGCCATAATAAAAGGTAGTGCAAGAGCAGAAGAGGGTGGTGATGGAGGGACTTGATCCCAAGGGCAGTAATGTGTTTTGGGGTATCATGGTGTGGCTGGGTGGATTATCCTGTCCCTGTGCTGCTGTGCTTGGACAGCTTCTGGTGTCTGCAACTGCTGCGTAGCCATACCATCACCTTGTAACTTGAAAAGAAACAAAAGGCCACGGTGAGATGTTTTATTTTACTCTAGTGTTGTTCCTGGCCTTCTTTAATCTTCTCCTGAGTAGTTTATTCTGAGGGGAAATGGCAGTGCAAAGAGCACTGCAGTGGTCCTGTTATAAATGTGATGTCTGTTCTCTTCCCATTCACTGTAGACACCACAAGGAAAATGTGCTCATGTATTTTTATGTGCCAGTGCAAGCTGCCCATGAATGCAACTTGCAAACTAGAGCTGGTAGCTTTGAGGGATGGGAGTCAACAGCCCTTTGGTGCTTGGATGTAATTGGGGATATTCAGTAACCGTCTTCCTAAAGATCTGCCCTTCTTGACACCAAGATGTTGGTCTTACTTTGCTACTTCTGGTGCAGTATTTTAGATATAATTTTACCAATTACTCTGAATGAAGGTAAGTCTTTCCATGCAAAACAGAAAAGAGAAAAATAATTTTCTTGCATGCATATGCAGACTTCTGCTGGCACTGTGAAGATGTGCATAGGGAGATGTGATCTGTGGCAGAGGAGCAAAGGCAGCAGCTGTCCCCAGGATATTAACAGGATAAATGATCCCCAGGATCATTTATACTGAGAAATGTCTGTTCTGTTATGCTGGTACAGCACAGCATTGCTTGTGAGACTTACACATGAGCAATACCGAGAGTATTACACAGTTTCTCTCCCAGCGAAAAGATTGCTAGTGTAGACATGGCTGAGAAGTTGGCAGCTCTTGGTGTGGCAGTTGGGAAAGCTGACATCCCAGCTCTCCACTCTGTTCGAGGCGGATATTGTCTCCCAAGAAGTTCAACAGTGCAGAGCATTTGCCTTGGTTCAGTATAAAGTCTGGCACCTGAACCACCAGAGCCCTTGTCACAGACAGCGTAAGCTAAGCTTCCAGACATGCACTTACCATATCTCTAATGGCAAATAGCTCATATGAGCTGCAGGATAAATAGGAGATCTTGATGGTGAGGTAAGGTCTGGGGTGTATTCAGGTCAGGCTGCAGGGCACGTTTCGATCCTCTAACTTAAATCTGCACAGTTCCACAGGTTGCACGTAACATTGTGAACAGTTACTAATTGCTTAAGCTTTTTTGAAGCACCTAATTCCCCCAAGAGCCTGTAGGTTTAAACAAATTAGCCTTAAAATTAACATAAGAAGAGAAAAAGCTCTATTAAATGCCATATGCTTTTTTAATGTGAATGCTACTGTGTTTAAAAAGAAGTCCCTGAAATGAATCATCAAAAGACACATCAATTGCAGGAAACTTAATAAGCTGTTCTGTGTATTAAAATGAATCTCAAAGCCAATATTATATTGTGAAATCAATCATTCTTAATCCTTGCATCTCTGAAAATTTGCTGTGACTTTGAGGCCAAACCTGAATCTTCTGCTTTCTCTGCTTAATGCACAGACAGTGCAGCCACAGGCTTACACAGTGATTCAGCTGTAAACACCGTCCCGTTGTTCCCAGTTAGTCCCTTCCAGTAGCAAAGGAGTCATCAGAGGCCTCCGGTCTGACATGTAAGCAGCCAGATGCAGAGCAAAGTTAGCAAAACCACGGCTGGCCCAGTGAGGACAGCTTTTTAGTCAACAAGAGAGGGGACGGCTGAGAGATGGAGGCAGAACACAAGCTCCAGGCAGATGTCAGGAAGCACCTGGGAGGGTGGCTGTCGGGAAGGTCTTGCCAGCAGCAATCATTGCACTGCAGCTCTCTGCCACAAGAAACTGTGCTGCTGGCTGTGCTGAAAATGACGGGGGGGCTGGCATCCCATCTGAGCTGGCACTCGGGAGTCAGCTGGAGGAGAGAGGAAGAGGCCTCCCTCATGATTTTCCTACTGCTTCTATGTAAAATCTTGCTTCCACCTCTAGTGAAGGCTCCCAATAGAGCAGTTGTTCCCCAGCCTCACGGGACTTGTGGCCATGCAGGGGATCAAGAGAACGCTTGGACCAAGGGGAAGGGCAGGGGAAGGGATGGAATGAGGTGGCTATGGGACATCATGGGCACGCTTTATCCCATATGCAAGGTGAAACTGTGATTAATTGACACTGCAATATAGCAGCTTTTCATTGGAGAAACTGATGTGGAAGTTGTTCAGCCTTTTTCATTAGGAAGCCTCACTTTCAAAGAATGTAGCTGTGCATTGAATGCTCTCCCAGGCCATGCTGTGGCAGGCAGGGACCTCTTGTCTTGTGTTCCCTCTTTACTTCTTCCACAGGCTCCAGGAAGAAGTGGTGTTCCACATACCATGTAAACACCTTGCTCCTTCCGGATACAGCCCCTGCCTGAAGGTCCCTGCTGATCTCCATCACTCTCCTGTTGCTCAGCTCTCTCCCACAGCACCCAGGGCTACAGTGGAGCCTGATGTCCCTAGGGAGGCCCCCCCACTGGTGCCCTCCCTGCACAGTGCATGGACCAGGATGTTGGCAGGGTCATCCTAAGGGACAGGTTACCCTTGGGTCCCTCTTGGATGCTGGCAGTTGGATTAGAGCATTTCTGCTCTTCCACCTCTCCCTCACCTCTGCTGTGTTGTTCATACCTATCCTTGCCCATTGCTGGGACCTTCTCCCTTTCTGCCTGTTCTTCTGGTGGTTTCTTTGCCTCCTTAAATGTCTTCATTTTTTTTTTTCTTTTGCCAGTGTGCACAGATGCTGCCCACCTTGGCATGGGGATGGTTTGATTCCCAGACCCTTGCTGCAGCCATACTGGGGAGCATCTTCCCCATCCAGGGCAGCATGGTAGGAGCAAGGGGAGCTGTGACCACTGCACTGAGGGGCCATGGTCTCCTTGCAGAGCTGCTTTGTCCTGGGCATTTTCACTTCATTTCTCCCTCTGTTTCTGTACAAAGCAGGGCAGGTTTGCTCATGGCAGCTCCTGGCCACTGTGCGGGAGCTTGGGGGAGGTGACAACTCCTCCCAGCCCATGCTGGAGAACAGGCACTGGGGCTACTCCCTCCACACTCCCCTCTGTGGGAGGAAATCCCTTCTCAGCTGCACAGCCTCAAGGCTGCTCTTTAATGTCAAGCTCTGGCCCCTGGCCAGGAGGGGTGGGTGGCATTTCTACCTCCTTGGTATAGCCATGCAGCCTGGTGGGGGGTTGCTGTGAGCAGGACCCCCCTATTTCTCTGCATCCCTGTGCTGCTATTGCATGTTAGTGATTTTTGGGGAGTGGGGTGGGGTCTGTAGCAGGAGGGAGAAAGCCCTCTGTTTCTCCAAGCAATGGTGGAGCATCCTCTGCGGTGACTTTCCCCATCAGTGCAGGGTTGAGATTTTTTTGGGTTAACACCCACTGAACCAGCAGTTGCTTTGGCAGCCAAAGCCTCCCGCTGTCTCTCTGGCAAAGAGGAGGGCAGGCACCAAACCTATTTTCTGCTTTCTCACTGTTGAAAGTGGCCATGCATAATTTATTCTACCCAGCTGCTGTCGTGGTACAACTTTAATGCACGCTGATTCAGTTACCAGCAGAGCTGGCAGGGAGAGGGATGGTCTGTTAGGAGCTGGCTGCAGGTCCCTGAAGGTTAGAAAAGAGCAGGTCTGTGCTGTCCCCATCCCTCCCTCCTGCTCATAACAGTTGCCATGTGGTCTGCAGCTTGCAGCCTCTCCTGATGGGATAATCCGTGGCTAAACCCTGTGAGTACCAGATGGAGTTCAGGCCTGTTCATTCTCTGTGTTAATAATCCAGAATGTCATTAATTTCTTTCTTATGCATTGTGGCAGTTTCTAGTTGTTTTCTTATTTAAAAAAAAAAGATCAGATGGTGATGTGAACATGCTTTTCTGAAATCCCTATGGAGTTAACCTGGTGCATATTTGATCATCCTCAGCTTGCAAGACAGCACTTGGAGTCCAAAATTTGAAAGCAGAGTTACTGTCTGAGCCAGCACAATGAACAGGAGAAAAAATATTTTTCAGATGGGAAGGCTGCAGCCCTCCACTCTGCTTTGCAAATGTAAAACCCCATAAAAGCCATTCCTTCCAGATGCTGACTGCTGAAATCCTGCTCCTATAAGCACCTGCTGAGAATTAAGCAAATGCTTTGCTTAAACTCAAATTTAAGCATGTGCTTATGTGCTTTGCTGACCTGGGGTCCACCACTGCACCAGACCTCCAAAGCTAACAGGAGGAAGCAGCAGTGAATCAATGCTGGTAGATGGGAAGGAAAGAGGCAGCTCCCTCCCCAGTTTAGAGCGTGTGAGGTGGTGAGAAGGGAGAGAAGATCAGCTGTTTTAATCTTCTGAGATCAGAAAGATGATGGTGCGAAGCCTGCCATAGCTGGTATGGAAGTCTGGGTTGCTAGTGGGTTTTGTTTGTGTTTAGTGGTGTTGCTGTCTAACCACCTGAGACTTGGCAGCCCTCTCTGTCCCTCCTGACCTTCTTGCATGTACACCTAGCACCTCCCAGGGTTGAAAAGTGACTACAGCAACCCAGTGCAGTGCCAAGGCTTGTTGCTGTGTTGAGCTGAGGACTAGGTAGAACCTGCCAGAGGCTCTCAGTACCTCACTGCACAGTGCGGGATCTAGCCTGCAGCACATACACAGATGGTCAGGGTCTGATTCCCAGCAAATTCTGGATTTCAGCATGGTGTGAGCCAGCACAATGAACAAGAGAAGTCATTTTTCATATGGGAAGGCTGCAGCCCTCAGCTCTGCTTTGTAAATGTGAAACCCCATAAAAGCCATTCCTCAACATGATGCAGCAATATGTGCTTGCAGCCCAGGTGGCCAACTGTATCCTGGGCTGCATCAAAAGAAGTCTGGCCAGCAGGTTGAGGAAGGTGATTCTCCCCTTCTACTCTGCTCTCACAAGACCCCACCTGGAGTACTGCATCCAGCTCTGGGGCCCCCAGCATAGGAAGGATATGAACCTGTTGAATTGAGTTCAGAGGGCAACAAAGATGATCTGAGGGCTGGAGCACCTTTCCTATGAGGACAGGCTGGGACAATTGGGGTTGTTCAGCCTGGAGAAGAGAAAGCTTCAGGGAGACCTTATAGCAGCCTTCCAGTACCTGAAGGGGGGCCTGCAGGAGAGATGGGGAGGGACCTTTTTTTTACAAGGGCAGGTAGTGGTAGGACAAGGCATAATGGCTTTAAACTGAAAGAGGGTAGACTGAGATGAGATACAAGGAAGAAATTCTTCACTATGAGGGTGGTGAGGCACTGGAACAGAGAAGTTGTGGATATCCCATCCCTGGAAGTGCTGCTCTGGGGTAAAATATCCCTGGTGCAAAAGCAAGGTGGCGGTAGCCAGGAGAGGCAGTGGGCCAGGGTCAGAGCCATCCCTCAGCTGGGACCATCCATTCCCATTACAGGTTCGGTGGAGAGTCTGTCTCACACGACCTCGTCCCCGCAGCCATCACCAGCCGCCTCCACCCACGCCTCCCACATCGCCGATCCCTCCTTCTCTGTTGAACACGCTGCTGCTGATGTGTCTGCCGCAGAGGAGACCCCCAGCGAGTCAGAGTCTGTCTTCCTCCCCGACTACCTCTTCCTCTCCAACTGCGAGTCGGGCAAGCTCAGCCACAACAGGTAGGTCTGGGGTCTGCCAGATGTGTCAGGCTGGAGCCCCCCTCTGCCTGCCCAGTGATGCCCTGGGAAACTGGGGCAAACTGGTTCTTGAGCCCCGCTGCTCAGGGCAGGCTCCTGAGCACAACAGGAAACCATCAGCCTAATCCAATTTACAGGGGGCTTTTCATAGTGCAGATTAGCAGTTGAGCATTGTATGTTGGTCCTGTGCCTTTCCAGGGTGGATGGCTGAGGACCTCACATATGGTCCCCGTCCAGATGCTCTTTCTGCCTGCCGCTGCCCAAGGTGCTCCACAAAGTGCCCCATGCCCCAGCCCAGCTCATGGGGGATCTTCCACAGCCATAGAGAAGGGACAGATTTTGTCCCAAATTGTGGGGTTGGGTTTTTTCACTGTGCACTTGCTTGGTTGCAACCAGGAGAAAAGGAAAGCTCAGGTCCTGACCTCTGTCTCTGTGCAGGTGTGACAGCTGGTCAAATTCAGACAGATCTCTGGAGCAAACCTCATCGGATGATGTTTTTGTTGACGCCTTGCAGTCCCAGCCCTCCTTGTACCTTGTACAGCCGTCCAGTGCTGGCACTGCACACCAGGACGGGGCCCTGTTGGCAAATCCCAACGCTGTGTCCAGGAACATAGACATTAGTGGGCCACCCAGTGACTTTTCCTCTTCTTCTCCACTGCTGGGGACGCCGCTGACACCAACCTTGCAGATTGACAAGACCCAGAATGTGCTGCCCTACGGTGTAACCCACCTGGACATCCTGTCCAACACACCCCCGCCACGGCCACCTAAGCCAACCCACTTCTCAGACAGGAGAGGGGATGAGGTGGGTGGTGGGGCCCTCCAGAATGGGCATGCAGGGATCTGCCGGGCTCAGGTTGCTCTGGTGCCCAGGAGGATCTCCTTGTCCAGCTTAGACAACGTGAGGAACTGGAAAGGTGAGTACATTTCTGAGACCCAGCAAAGCGGGACTGATGTGAGGGATGGAGCCTCTCATGAGCACAGAGCGGGTGCCCACCTCCAGCTGTGCCTCCCTGTCCTCCCGCCTGCAAAATCATACACCTCCCAAAGCAACCTGAAGTGCTTATTCCAAATTATTTAGTGAGAAGGATTCAGACCTGTCCCTCATTCACAGAGCTCCTGCTCTGTGAAAGCGCCTTAGTGTGTACACACAGGCAGCAATTTGGCTGTGATCTCTTCAGGGTGCCTTATGACTTGCTAGTTTTTCATGCCCCTGCCTTCTCCAAGAAAGCAGTAGTAAAACAAAAATGAAAAGCCAGCCACTAAATTGGGCAATGCCAAACTCTTATGCAGGTCAAAGTGGACTTGCACATGGGAAATACCTTTGTATCTGCACTGCTTTGCTGCATCCAGTCCTTTCCATAACAGCAGCATGTCATCTTGCAGCTTATGGTAAAGAACGGGAAGCCAGGGAGACACTGGTGATGGGATATAATCCCAGTTGAACCAGGGACTCTGCATGTCCTTGAGCAAATCCCACTCTGTCCTTGTACTTCAGCCAGGGTAGCCTGAAAACCTGCTGCATAGCGAGGCTCTGCTGCAAAGCAAGTTCTGCTCTGAGCTGAGGTGACTTTTCCACTTGTTCTTGAAACACCATCGTTGCAAACAAAAATAACAGTCAAAACCCCAGAACATCAAGGTGTCAAAAACCAGCAACCATGGTACGAGAGAGTTTTATTTTGTGGAACCAGAGAACAGAGGGAGGCAGCTGGAATAACTGGCTGGAAATCACTGAGTATTTTGCAGTGATGTGTCATTTTTGATGAGGAAAAAAATGTAGGGGTTTAAGGACAAGCATCCTTTAGACTCCTGTGGTTTGAATGACCAACCAGTGTTTAGGCCTGTTAGATCTTGCACTTAAAGCTCAGAAGCTAAAGCAAGGAGACCTCTGTCCAGCCTGTTTATCAGTGTACAAACAATTCTTGGAAGGTTTCTGGAGAAACACCCATCAGTGGAATTGGTATTCTTAATTATCAGTTACATTTGCTTATTCCCTGAAAGGTGCCGCTCTTGCTTCTGCACATGCGGTCCTCTAACGCCACCAGTGTGCTTGAGACAGTTAATGTTCCTCCAACCCATTTTATGCCAAAATGTTTTTAAGAGGATTAAGTGGCCAAATGTCATGTTCTGCTACTGTGCTGCAAGGTTATCTCTGCCTGACAGGGGGCAGCAATGAATTAATAAGTGCTGCTATTTTTTCATACCCTAAGTGCAGCTGAAACTATTTGAAAGGTTAAACTCTGAATTAAAATGTGTTTAACAAGAAAGATTGGAAAAAGAAACTGGGAGAATGCAGCTGTTCCTGGTCACCAGCTCCCAGAGTGAGCCCACTCGAGTTAGTTACTTCATTTTTTGCCCTTGGCAACCTGTAAAACCTGAACAGATGTAATTAACCCAGTGCAAAGGCAGTTTATGCTGGTTGCAGTGCAATGAAGGCAAACGAGCTGGACATGTGTATGGCACCTGTATCCTGGCATCTGCTGGATCGTTGTGCCTGAACGTCTTTCTGCCAAAATAACAAATGAGCATAGCTGTCCCAGGACAGTGACTGTGTCTATCTGAATATATATCCATACTAACACTATCGCTTTGTTCTTGCTTAGCACTTTTGCCTGTTGTGCTGATACCACCACAGAGACCCCCAGTTGCAGTGCAGTATTGACATCTCCAGCATAAGAGCAGGGACTGGATTAACACAGTTGCAGGGGTTTAAGGCATTCCCACAGAAAAGCCATTTTCTGCACTGAAAATCCTTTTCCAGAAAAGGATGGTAATTGTAAGCACCTCCTACTGCTGACCTTCTGTGCACTGAATGTTGGATTTCAGGTTTTTTGCCTTTTGCTTAAAAAAATAAAGTTGACCTACAGCAAGACAAAGGCCAGCCTGCACAAGGGGGGACACTGTGACTGGTGACCTTTTTGCTGGCTGTTTCTTCCCTATCAGCTTGAGCCACTGGTACCACATCAGCACTTCTGGGTGACAAAGAGAAGAATTTCTCTACTACCATTAAGTTCCTCCATGCACCCTGCATACAATACATGTGCTTCCCTGGCACCTTACATACAAG